AAAAAAATGTCGATTATTCTGAAAAGAAATAGTATAATATAACAAAAATAATTGAGTTATAATGTTGTATATAATGTGATGCATTATCAAATGAATAATTATCATAAATCATATGGTTTGATGGTAAAATTATTTGTACTTTTAATCATAAATTTAAGGTCTAATCTTTAATCTTTACATATAAAAAATCAAATAAATAGTTGAATGGTTGGAATAAACTAAAATTTAGAATTCTCAAATTTTTATAGGTAAATGCAAGAATTCTCAGATGACCTGATTATAAACTTGACAGTATTGGGGCTTGTTCCCACCCATATTTTCTTAATTTCTTCAGTCTTGTTATAAATTATAATAAAGGATCTGTTTTGGGCTGTACGTATTCTCAGTTTCGGTCAATAAATGGAATTTTTGGGTCTGCTGCGCTGAGCATGAATTTGAACTCAGCCTTACTGCCCTCTATTCTGCGTTCCTAAATTAATTGTTTTTAATTAACTGCAAGATGTTGGGTCCGGAGGAACTGATTAGAAGCTCACGATGTTGAAGAAGTGGAAATTGTGCAAGGCCATCATGGAATACGACATTGAAATCTTGGAGCTGATGAGTATTGTAGCCGCCGGCAAGCTCCACGAAGAAAGGCAAATTCAGGCCATTCCAAAAACAAGAAGATAGTAACTAGGTAACATTCTAAAATACTAAGAATGTTTAGTTGATCTGTTTATAAAAGACACTAAATTTCTTTTAATTTATTGAAAAAAAATGAATAACCATACTTAGGGCAGAGAGTTGGTAACGTTTATTTTATACTTATCTCCTGATTTAGTAAAAATTATTTTAAAGCTTATTTATTCTAAGCTTGTCAATTAAGTTCCTTAATTTTGTCTTTATCTTTTATTTTATGTGAATTTAAATAGAGAAATATTTAGTATATTATGTAAAACTCTCAAACTTCAAACTTTTAACTTTACTTATCACTATTCTTACACAAATCATGTTGATTCATTTCTAGTTTTTATTCAATACATGATCAATTTTAATTGTAGCATATCATTAAAAAACATTAAAAAGAAAGGTATATACTTTATATGAAATATTAAGTTTTAAAAATATCAAAATTATAAAATTTTATATTAAATTGACCAAACTCTATTGTAGTGTTAGATGATTAAATTAGTTTATAATTTAAGAGAAGAAAATTAAATATTTCATAATTTATACAGAGTATTTGACATTATAAAAAATTTAAAAACAAGTATGATCAATTTAATAATACAAACTATCAAGTCTTATTATTATTATTATTATTATTATTATTATTATTATTTTGATATTGAATTTCTCATTGTCATCTCTCTCTTAATCTTGTTTGGGCAGCTTCAAGATCCAATACAGTAGATATATTCAACTGCTTCAACACTTAAAATTTCCGAAAATGTTTTCTCGGGGAAAACACTCCGATACTTAAGTTAGCAATACTCAATATTCTAAAGAGAGATGCTCTCAATGAGCAATTGCAGAGAGAGAAGTGTAGTGGAGTTAATACCTTGCATGGAGGTAGTTGGGGGTTTTTATAGCTCTATATACTGACATGAGTTCAAACATGTATTCATCCAACTAGTCCACGTGTTACTACCCACGTAGGTGTGTCTCCTCATCTTGGGCTTGTGAGCGTATAACTAGGCCTGTTGCATGTGCCTGAAGCGGGTGTTGGGTCTAATCCCAACAAATCTCAAAAAAGCTCTCAAAGTCTAATTTTAAATAAATATTTATAGGAATTAAGAAAACTCTACTACAAAGAAACACACTCATGCCAAAAATATGATCACTTCTGAATAAAATCGTTGAAAATTGCTTAGGCTGTCAACACTATAATTTAGGTGCCGATACCTCTGCTGCAAAGTCTCCCACACAAATTCTTAACCTATAGTGTCGATACTTTCTTTGTAGTGCCGATACTCAGACCGTGTCGGATTTTTGGATCTTTTCATAAATTTATAATGGAAAAATAGCATATGTGGGCCTTTATCTTCTACTCTATGATTTTAGGTCCCTGATGGCAACATTTCTTCTTACAATATAATCCCTAAACTTTTAAAAATTTGTAACAAGTCCCAAACCTCTATTCATATACACTCAAGTTATTTTTTGTACAAAGAATAAAAATTATATAAAATTAATAAAAAATCACATCCTACCTACCTAGGGGAGAGAGGTGGTAACATTTTTTTTTTACTTATCTCCTGATTTAGTAAAAATTATTTTAAGGCTTATTTATTCTTAACTTGTCAATTAAGTTCTTTAATTTTGTCTTTATCTTTCATTTTATGTGAATTTAAATAAAGAAATGTTTATTATATTATGTCAAACTCTCGAACTCAAAACTTTCAAATTTACTTATTATTATTATTACAAAAATCATGTTGATTTTTTTTTAGTTTTTATTTAATATATTATCAATTTTAATGATAGTAGATCATTAAAAAGCATTAAAAAGAAAGATATGTACTTTATATAAAATAGTAAGTTTTCAAAATAAAAATATTATAAAATTTTATATTAAATTGATTAAACTCCATTGTAACCTTAGATAATTAAATTAGTTTATAATTAAAAAAATTAAATATTCTATAATTAATATAAGAGTATTTAACATTGTAGAGAAAAATTTAAAAACAAATAAAACTGATTAATAATATAAAATATCAAATCTTAATTTTCTTTTGACATTTGATATCTATATATATTTGTTTTTTTGATATTGAGTTTCTCAATGTCACGTCTTTCTTAATTTCTAAAAAGCTCTCAAAATATAATTTTAAATGAATATTTATAGGGATTAAGAAAACTCTACTACAAAGCAGTAAACTCGTGCCAAAATATAGCTACTTCTGAATAAAATCGTTGAAAATTGCTTAGGTTGTCAACACCATAATTTAGGTGTCGATACCTCTGCTGCAAAGTATCCCACACAAATTCTTAACTCATAGTGTCGATACTTTCTATGTAGTGTCAATACCCAGACCGTGTTGAATATTTTCGGATCTTTTTGCAATTTCTTTAATGAGAAAATAGCATATCTGGGCCTTTATCTTCTACTCTATGATTTTAGGTCCCTGACGGCAACATTTCTTCTTACAATATAGGCCCTAAACTTTTAAAAATTTGTAACAAGTCCCAAACCTTCTATTCTTATGCACTCAAGTCATTCTTAATACAAAAAATAAAAATTATGTAAAATCAATAAAAAATCACATTCTATCTAAAGTCAAAACTAAAATAAGAAGTTAAAACATATAAAATACAACTCATTACTTACCACATAATAGTTGACAAGTATGAATATTATTATCACTGCTTGGTTTTTTAAGATCATTAAAATTTAATTGATTATAATTTAAAAAAAAAGATAATTATAATATTTGAAAATATCAATTTATAAAATAATTTTAACTTATTAAGTAATAAAAATTTATTATTTTATTATTTTATTAAATATAATTAATAATTAAATTAAATTAAGATTTTTTAAATAAAATTTTAATAACCTTAACAAAAATAATAAATTATCATAATCATACCCGTAATTGACGACGTTTGACTTCAATTATTCACTAGAAAGAAGGGTGGGTTAGGAGAAAAGTAAAGCATTTCTTTTGCCAGGAGATGGTCCACTACGTGGAGAGTCAAGCATTTAATTTTGGTTAAATACCCTTTTTGGTCCCTCTACTATAGGAAAAAGCCC